AATAAACGAATCAAGAGCCACGAATCAAGAAAACTGAGAAGGTTGATTCAACAAAAAAGAAGAAAATAAGAAAATAAAAAAAATGGAATCTTCTTAATTAAAGAGGCTCCATTGTAGAATTTAGACCTAACCATAAATTGAAAAGCGATGGGAACGACGGAACCTGTGAATACAAAAGATTATATTAAAATTTGAAATCTTACTGATTCATTAGATGGGATGGCGGAAGGAACTAAGAATTCATTCTTTTTTGAGGAGTTGTGGACTAACCCTACATTACATCTTAAATTTAATCAATTTATAATGAGAGAGTAAATATTCGCCCGCGAAAATGTGAATTTTTTTGGAATTGATAAATTTTTGCCAATCCAATATGATAATAATAAAAAAAGAAAAATACTGATTCGTTAGAACCTTATATCCAAAAATATTAGCTAGTTAGATACGGATAGCAAAAATGGTCTATAAGAATACATATTTCGTTATATATCAAAGCAAGATTAAAAAATTTCTAATAGATCAATAGATTCTATTAAATGTAAAAAAATCCCGCGATTATATTCTGTTGTATCTTATTGTAGTAATTATTATTATTTTCTCGATTCAATATTTTTCAATCGATTTATTCGCAAGGAGCCGTATGAGGTGAAAATTTCATGTACGGTTCTGTAATAGAGATGGAATTGAGAAATAACCATCAACTATAACCCAAAAAGAACGAGATTCCGCAAACATCATAGAGGAAGAATGAAAGGAAAAGCCTCTCGTGGTAGTCAAATTTGCTTCGGAAAATATGCTCTTCAGGCACTTGAGCCCGCTTGGATCACATCTAGACAACTAGAAGCGGGTCGACGGGCAATGTCACGAAATGTTCGCCGGGGTGGACAAATATGGGTACGCATATTTCCAGACAAACCTGTTACAGTAAGACCTACCGAAACGCGTATGGGTTCGGGAAAAGGATCGCCCGAATATTGGGTAGCTGTTGTTAAACCCGGCAAAATACTTTATGAAATGGGAGGTGTTCCAGAAAATATCGCTAGAAAGGAGATTTCAGTAGTGGCATCCAAAATGCCTATACGAACTCAATTTATTCTTTCCGAATAATCATTAGAACGAAAGAGATCTTTAGTATGAAAAAAGGCAATTCTCCGTTTTTTTTTTTAACACAAAATATTTTTTTTACTTCAACTTTTTGACTGAAACTGAAAGATAAGAAAAAAGGATATGATTCAACCTCAAACCTATTTAAATGTAGCCGATAATAGTGGAGCGCGCGAATTGATGTGTATTCGAATCATAGGAGCTAGTAATCGAATGTATGCTTATATTGGTGACATTGTTGTTGCTGTAATCAAAAAAGCAGTGCCAAATTCATCTTTAAAAAGATCTCAAGTTATCAGAGCTATAATTGTACGTACTTGTAAAGAACTAAAACGTCGTAATGGTATAATAATAAAGTATGATGATAATGCGGCGGTTCTCATTGATAAAGAAGGAAATCCAAAAGGAACTCGAATTTTTTCCGCAATAGCCCGAGAATTGAGACAGTTAAATTTCACTAAAATAGTTTCATTAGCACATGAGGTATTATAATAAGAGATCATGATATAGATATATTATTTATGACTTGAATGAATAGGAAATAGATTAGAATACGAATGAAATATATATTCTATATTCAAGTCAATATATTCAAAATAAAAATTCGAATTCTATTTGTATAAAAAAATAGAATTCGAATTCAATATAAGATTATTTATATAGTTTCGAATAGGTCATTCGTTCATTTTATTTCTATCTTTTTTTAGTTTTAGAATATTCTATATTCGGATATTTAGATTATCCTTAATGAACCTGCATGGGATCCTATCTAAAATCTGCAGTGTTGAATCTCATGAACACATTAAATAAAATCATAAAATGCAAATAAAGTCAATATATGAAGAAATTTAATGTTTAGGCACAATATGGCATGTATGAATGATTATACCCTTTTGATCATGGAGATCAAATCAATCTTACCCTTACTGGAAAAGTAGTGACATGAATGCTTTTATGTCCTTTTGATCATGGAGATCAAGTCAACCTTACCCTTACTGAAGAAGTAGTGAGATGTTGGTTTGTAACTGAGATGACTTGTTTGTAGTGAGAGAGGGATTTGTAATAAGGATTTCAAGGTTTTAGGGTTCTTGAAAGAATTTGATATTGTAACAGTGTTGTGGCAAAGTTTTTTTCTCTTTTTTCTCCTCCCTTGTTTGTGTGAAAAGAATGTGATTATATAATGGAAATTAGGGTAAAGAAAATGGGCTTTGAATGTGCAATTGGGCCTCCAATGTTCACTTGAGTTCGTCACTTTCCAGGCTAAATCGCAGGGACTTAAGTGCAATTTTTGAAGTTGAAATGTGAAAACAAAATGTATCCGACATCGAGAACTAACTCCTGTCCGAAAATCGGCTCAATCGGATAAACGGTGAATTAGTTATGAATTTTTGAAGTTTCAGCTCAGACAAACTTATTTTGGGCTCCAGTGTCGATTCTGACACGTTCTTCAATAAAAAACTGGTATTGATCGGAGCATAATCCGGTCTCGACTTTTGAAGCAAAGTTGTAGATCTATGAGTCAGTGACCTTGTGTAAAAATATGAGCCCAATCCGATAAAAATTGACCGAGTTATGAATTTTCGAAGTTTCGGCCCAGATGAAATAATATTCAGCATTCAGGATTTTCAGCGTGTCACGCATTCTGAGCAAAAAACGAAGGCCTTTTGAATACCGTTTGAACTCAATACCTTCTGTGAAAATGTAGCCAACCCAATTTGTGAAATTTTGGCACCGGAACCAGCTCGATACGATGAAAATCAACCAAGCTATGATTTTCTGAACATGACACAAATAAACTTCGGTCACAAATTTTCTGTACGAAAATACTTGATAAATCCACATTTTTGAAGACCTTCTGATCGAAATTGGCTTCCAGCCGTGAGATATGAAAACGCATATAATGTCAAGACGGAAATTTGGCCACCAGAACGGGTTCAAAACGAGTCACGATCTTCAAGTTATGAATTTTTTAGCGTGTAAAAACTGCACTTTCAGCACACTTTTTCACCATATTTCTTCAAGAAAACTCACACATTCAGATACCTTCTTTAAAGAATTATCTCTTGAGCCGAACCTGAATTTGAGAATACGTTATCAGAGATATCTTGGTGAAAGAACACCTGAATATGACGCGCCGGGTTGGACTTGTGAATTTTTCTTGAAATGTTTTGAGAAATATGGGAGGGCAAATTTTGGGGTACAACAGTTGCCCCTGTTCAATCTTCTTAGACCTGAGGATGTAGATTGGCTTGCGTGCCTTTCATGATCCGAAGGTGGAAGATGATTGAACACTAGAGTGCCCAGAAATTTGCACTCGCATAATAGAATATCAGCAATGTGATGTCGGGAATGGGCTTATAGATGCCATTT